GTAGTTTATAGTCACATACAGTAAAACATGAACACTCATTCATACCCTTACCAAGTTTTGTATTTTTTTGAGTATGTGAAACGTTGATTTGTCCCGATTAACATTTCTTGAGAGTGTGACATATTGAAGTTTACATCTTAAAGTATTCTAGATTTACGAAAAACACTATCAACATAACATTTACAAGGGGTATAAATAATTTAGTTGTTGTTAAAGAAAAGCGTGTAATTACCAAACAATAAATGATTTAACCGAGAAAATAATAGATACAATGTTATTATAGGCGACACTTGAAATATGCTCATCAGCACGTGAGCTATACCCTTGTATCCCACTAAAGGCCATTCAATATTATACAAGTATCTTTGCATGAAACACATTTTGCTCGATATGCGTATAACTTCTTGAAAAAATTTGTATCAATTTTGTAAAGAATAGAATTATAGATTTACACAGTAGTACACTGGATAATCAAAGAATATTTACCATATGGAAAACAGAAAGCACTGACTTCATCATGCTCCTGTTGGGTTGAATTAGGTCCGCTCAACTCTAGTATGAAGCAATCAGTTATTTTCATATCATTGTAACCACATGATATATCGTCTATAAGAATTGGACGCGAAGAACGAGCAAATTCACCCCCGTAGTAGTAAAATGCACCTGCATATCCAAGATGACGACAGACTGTATCACGGTCTATAGAGGAATAGTAGCCTGCAGCTACGTAGCCCCACTCGCCTTTAAGAAAGACTTCTAGACGACCTTGCTCAGTGAAATCACTCCCAACCATTCGTAGGTCAAAGTCTAAATCAAAAAAATCATGAAACATAGAAAAAAAGAAGCAAGAATCAATATCAAATCATCAACTAAGAATCTTCTATCTACATAATTATCAAGGTATTTTCTCCCAGTTACAAGGTTGATCGCAACATTTTCCTCACATCTCTGTTTCTGCCATTCTAGTACACTCTTCCACTCCATGTCTTAATGTTTCCCTTCTAACTAGTTCTTCTTTTTGGTATGATAGAGTAAGGGTTAGGATCCTCGCATAAGCCATATTTAAAGCATAAGAAGAACAAGAAATTTGGGGCTGAAATGTAGAAGTATCGCAGGGGTTGTCAGAACTCACTGCACACACCCCCAGTATAGTACGACAATACTCTGTAAAGAGGTCTGTACTAAAAAAAAAAAGGAAGAAGAAGAAGGATAAAATGAATGTAACGATAAATATAACAGTGGTCCCATCAGGCTGATAAATTGTTGTGATTCTGTCTGTCGAGGGGCACGGGCTTTCTTCTGACGTGACGCCACATCGAGGGTGTAACATTTTTGGCTTTCAGAAATAATCATTTATCTTTGTCCTCAGAAAGACGGTGCCAAGAGATCTCAACGAGAGAACAATCAAATAACATAACGCCAACCTGATGATACCGTCTCGGTTAATTGGGTCCCAGATTCGTGTCCTGTAGTGAAAACCAGGCTGAGGTCGAATATTGAAAACCAAATCTGGACGTAAATATTTAGATTGCAAAGTAGCAACAGCCGCAGTACGAATAACGCATAGGATAAGCATCACGCAGAAGCACTAGCTGAAGAGGAAATGACAATGTTGAGATCAAGGACATGGTTTAGGGTTGGAAGTTAGCTACTGTTACAGTAATCACCTGTTATAGTCCAATCAATAATTTTTCCTTATTCAATCAAGCTCTAGATTTCTACAGGGAGAGTCAGAACAAATTTCCCACTTTTTAAAAGTTGAATTGTTTGAAGTATGAATATTACATCATGGGTTTC